GCCTCTCGAAGTGCTGGGATTACAGGCATGAACCACCACGTGAACTACAGCCAGATATGTCTATTTCTTTTAATCTGCCAGTTTTACCTTCATATATTTTGACGCTCTGTTGTTAGGGTTACAGACCTTTATGGTTGTTACATCTTCTTGATGAATTGACTATTTCATTATTATGTAATGTTCCGTGTAGACAGCTCTTTTATTCGTTCTAACAATCTCTGATATTTAATTGGAATATTTAGTTCATTTACCTTTAATGTAATTCTTGTTATGTTTGGATTTGGATATAACATATTATTATTTGTTTTCTGTTCATTCAGCAACAGTCTGATTTGAACGGTTTGAACAGCTTGTTTTCTGTTTCTCTACTCCTTTCCTGCCTTCTTTTGGGTTGATAATGGTATTTTTTAAGAATTTTATTTTAATTTTTTTATTGACTTTTTATACTTCTTTGCTTTATATTTTTAGTGGTTGTTCTAGTGATCAAATACACATTGTGAACTTTTTGCAGTGTACCTAATAATGTACTGCTTCATGTAAAATATAAGTTTCTTGTAATAAGTCATGCTAGTCTCATTTTAAGGAATCTAGGAGTTAGGAATGCTAAGTGTATTGCATAAAATATCTAGCTATAACTACCTAATACTTAAATTTCGAAGGTTAAACCAAACTTACATTTATAGAATATACCCAGTTTAGCTTTGGTGTATATTTATATCCTTTTTAAAATTTCTATGTTCTCTGTGCTAACATTTTGTTTAAGAGTTTTGTTTCTATATGAGTAGGAGAACTTGGCTTGTAAATTTCCTGTTTTATAATGTTCTTGTCAGGTTTTCTTAAGTTATGTTGAACTCATGAAATGAGTTGAGAATATTTTCCCCTTTTTCTAAATCCTGAAGGGGTATGTTACAGATTGCTATTATATTTTTCTTAAGCATTAGGTAGAATTTATTGGTGAAACTATATGGCCACTAATTTTCTTTGTAGAAGGTTTATAATTGCATATTTAGGTTTCTTTCATGGTTTTATGGGTATGTAAATTTCCTTTTTGTCGGTTTTGATAAATTCTATTTCTACATTTCATCCAAATTTTCACATTTATTGACAAAGCATTATTATGGGTTATACATATTTTTTGTTTGCCTTTTCTCTTTTCTTTTTTCTTTATCAATTTTGCCAGGGGTTGATTTTAAACATTCTTTCAAAGGATGATTATTTGGCATCATTGATCATTTTCTTTTCACTTATTTATTATATATGTATTATACTTTAAGTTCTGGAGTACATGTGCAGAACGTGCAGGTTTGTAATATAGGTATGCACGTGCCATGGTGGTTTGCTGCATCCATCACCCCATCATCTACATTAGGTATTTCTAATTTTTATTGTATGCTTTAGTAATTTCTGCGTTTTGTGTTAAATTTTCTGTTATTTTCATAAGTTTTTGAGATACATTCTTTGATATCTGATTGATAGTCCCTCTTCTTTCCTAATACAGATGCTCCTTGACTTACAGTGGGATTATGTCCCCATAGCCCATTGTAAGTTGAAAATATTATAAGTTGAAAACTCATTTAATACACTAACCTATTGAACATTATAGCTTAACCTATCCTATCTTAAACATGCTCAGAACACTTACATTAGCCTATAGTTGGGCAAAATCATTGAACACAGTGCCTATTTCATACTAAAGTGTTGAATCTCATATAGTTTATTGAATATTGTACTGAAAGTAAAAAACAATGATTGCATGAGTACTTGTTTTACAGTTTCTTCTGAATGCATATTGCTTTTACATCATCGTAAATTGAAAAATTGCAAGTTGAACCGTCATGAGCTGGGGACTGTCTGTAATATTCATTTAAGTCCCTAAGGTACAAGCTTTTGCTGTATTCTACAAATTCAACATATATTGTTATTTTATTCAAATATTTTATGATTTATATTGTGAGCTGTTTGAATTCTGTTCCTTACTGTCCAAACATTTGAAGATTTTCTGCTTCTGTTTTTGTTATTTCTATTGTATTGTGATCAAGGAACATATTCTGTATGGTTTCCATATATTGAAATGCATTGAGACTTCTGTGGCCTGGCATATGTCAACTTTTTTTTTTTTTGAGATGGAGTTTCACTCCTGTTGCCTAAGCTGGAGTGCAATGGTGTGATCTCAGCTCACTTCAACCTCCGCTCCCGAGTTCAAGCAATTCTCCTACCTCAGCCGGGATTATGGGCTGGGATTATGGGCGCACACCACCATGCCTGGCTAATTTTTTTGTATTTTTACTAGAAACATGGTTTCACGATGTTAGCCAGGCTGGTCTCAAACTTCTGGTCTCAGGTGATCCGCCTGCCTCAGCCTCCCAGAGTGCTGGGATTACAGGTGTGAGCCACCGTGCCCTGCGCATATGTCAACTTTGGTAAATATTTCACGTGTACTTAAAATGAAACTGCTTTGCAGTAGTGTGCAGTGTTTTAGCAATGTTCATTAGGTCAAGTTTGACAATCATGTTATTAAAATCTGTATTTTTACTAATTATTTTGTTTGCTCTCGCTGAGTTATTTTTAAGTCTGCCATTGTGCTTGTAGAGTCTACTTTTATTTCAGTAAATATTTCTTTCTTTCTTGATACATTTAGACTTCTTAAAATTTCCAAGTGAACTAATTTTATTATCAATATTAAGTTAAAGCGTGCCTTTTTAATTTCATGATTTTTACCTCAGCATATATATCTGATATGAATACAGCTGTATTGAATTTTCTTTGATTTTTGTTTACATGGTCTATTATTTTCATTTTTGAATTAGAACTGTATCCCTTGTCTTTTTTAGATGTTTTTCTTGTAAATGGCAAGGAAATATATTTTATTTGTCTGACAATCTTTATCTTTTGCTTAGACTATTTAGTCCATTTCCATATAAAGTGCTTTCTAGTATATTTGGCTTTAAACTTAGTATTTTACTATTTGCTTTTTATTTATTCCATGTCCTGATTTTCCTACTTTTTTTTGTGTCCTTTTGGAGATTCATATTACTTTATTATCTCCTTTTATTAGGTACACCTTTTTTTATTCTTTTATTAGTGGTTACTCTTAGAGATTACGACAGATATCATTGATTTATCGTAATCTAACATAAATTAGTACTTTAATTTCCTCCTGACAGCATAGTGACCTCAGAATATTATAACTACACTTGTGTTCCTTCCGACTCATATGTTTGTTGCCATAGCTTTTAATTCTTCTGTTACTTGATTTCAATGAAACTTTATTGTTTGATAATGTCAATTAATATATATATTATGTATACATTTATCATTTTTGTTGCTCTAAATTTTTCCCTGTGTCACTGATCTTCTGTTTAGTATCATTTTCCTTGTGCCTGAAAACGTTCTTTAGTTACTTTCTTTAGTGTGGCTTTTGCGGTGATGAATTGGCTTGCTTTTTGATTGTCTGAGAATCTTTACCCTTCATTCTTGAATATCGTCAGTAGATGTAAAAATCTAGGTTGCTTTTATTAGCACTTTGAAAATATTCTATTGTATAGTATTTCCCATTGTTTTTGCTGCAAGGTCAGCTACTTGTCTGTTTGTGTATGTTTTTATTTTTTTATTTTGAGACAGGGTCTTGCCATGTTGCCCCGGCTGGAGTGCAGTGGTGCAATCACGACTCACTGCAGCCTCATTGCCCTGGGCTCAAGCAGTTCTCCTACTTCAGCCTTCCAAGTAGCTTGGGAATATGGGCATGAACCACCTGTACCCAGCTAATTTTTGTAGTTTTTGTAGAGATGGGATTTTGCCATGTTGCCCAGGCTAGTCTTGAATTCCCGGGCTCAAATGATCTACCTGCCTCGGCTTCCCAAAGTGCTGGGATTACACGTGTGAGCCACCATGGCCAGACCAGTTGTTGCTTTTTTGTAGATAATCTGTTTTTTCTTACTGCTTTTAACATTTTCCGTCTCAGGTTGTTTCAGTGAAGCACCTGCTTGTGTTTTTTTGTTAGTTTTTGGTTTTCATTTTGTTTTGGTTTTGGTTCTTAGAAGAAGATCTTGAATCTGTGGCTCGATTTTTAAAATCAGTTAAGTTTTCAGCTTTTATTTCTTCAGATACTTCTCCTGTATCATTTGGGATTCAGATTATAGGTATCCACACCCTTATTAAGTATACTTTTTTTCTATAGTTTTTCTAATTCTCTCAGTTTTTTGAATTATATAGTTTTCTTCTTATATACTTTATTTTGTAAGGTAATGATCAATTATTTTCTCCCATTTGGATACCTCATATACCTTTCTTCTCAATTTTTAAAACAACCCTGCTAGTATTATTTTTTTACCATTTTTACAGATATTATTCAGGGAGGTTAACTACCTTGCCCAAGCTCTCAATAGCAGCCAAGCAATCAGAGCTAATATTTGAATCAGTCTAATCAATTCAGTATTTCTTGCTCTTTATTACAGGAGGTTATGATTCCTTGTTTTCTGTTTTTCTCATTTAATTTTTGGAGACCAGCTGTTACTCAAAATGTTGTATGTATTAATGAATTAATCTATCTTAAAATAACATTTTGCCATTTCACCTGTATTTATTAGATAATAGAAGTGTACAAATTTGTGGACCAAATATTATCCCCTTTAAGTAGTTTCTTTTCTCCATGGAAACAGGAATGTATACAGTTTATTCTAATAGACGATATGAAGAGATAGTTTCCATGGTTAGAAACAAATAAGAAGATAGTGTCTCAAGTGATGGAATTAAGAAAGAATCCATTGGGTAGGTAGAAGCTTTCATGGAAAAGATGGCAATATGAGGATTTTTGTTTGTTTACAAGGGTAAAAAACGTTATTACAAATAAAGAAAATCAGTACTAACATTTCATGTTAATTTTCCCCTCAACAAATCTCTTTGTACATATTTTGTCACTTATTGGATAGTCATGTAAGCAGTGAAATTTTGTATGTCATGATACATTATACACAGCGATTGAAAAAGTCTTTTTTTCTCAGGTTATTTCATTTCTGGCTGCAGTTTTGCATAAAAAGGGAACTCGTGAGGATATTGAAAATAACATGCCAGAGTTTTTACTGAGAAGTATGAAAAAGGAACCCTCTTCTTCTACAGCAAAAAAGGTAAAATCTCTAGAAATAGTCTACTCATGATGCTGGTATTACAAAAACACATAGAAATATTTAAATATACACATTAAAATTTATTAGTATAAATTTTAAAATGTAAGAATTTAAAGATGTTATTAAAATATTTGTTAGATAGGCCTAGTTTGAAAGATTATCAATTTTATCCTTAAGTTAAATTTGATTGACTCTCATAATTGCAAAATAGAATTTCAGCTTGATTTTGCTTTGGGGTTTTAATTGGTTGCTTGGCTGGATTTACATGATTTACTTAGGTTGATTTGTTAAATTTCTATGAATGCATATGTAAAGTTAATTGAAGACTTCATTATATTGTTTTTTATTCATGTGAGAATGAAAAGGAGATGGTTATAGATATTGGTAACAAAAGTACATCATCGACTTATTTCAAGTTGCCTAGCTGACTAATTGCATCCAAAAAATATGAAATATATTCTACCAATACAGGAAAGTTGGAATCAAAAAGACTAGTTCTGTACTTATTTTTGCTTCTGCTCATGTGACTGTGAATAGTATTCATATCCATACTTTTCTCCATTATAAATGTGTGTTCATAAATATGTTATATATACAAGGACTTGAGAATCCACACATTTTGGTATCCAAGAGAGGATAATGTACATTGCTGTTTATCTTACAAAAAAGATTAATAAAGCAATGAAATATAAAAAAAGTATACTTAACATGTCTTTTTAAAAAATATTATCCTCAGCATCCAGGAAACCAGACAGGAATAAAGATGAAGTGATTTTATGAAATCTTTATTATATTTGGTAATGAATTACCACAAGTTTTAAAACAGATTCTTTTATACAAGTCTTATATATAAGATTGCTGAGAAGTCCAAGTTTACTCTTGGCTATCATAAGGACCATTTCAGTGCAAACTTTTCAGAAGTACTGGCTTAAGATATAATTGCTATCATTTTAAATTTTCTTAATTTATTTTTATTATTTTTTATTTTTATTTATTTTTATTTTTTTAATTGCATTTTAGGTTTTGGGGTGCATGTGAAGAACATTCACGATTGTTGCTTAGGTACACACATAGCAGTGTGATTTGCTGCAATTTTTTAATAGCATAAATGCATCCTGAGTATCAGTTTCAGTGTGATCCTAAATAATGGTTCTTAATGTATTTTATGTATTCAAGAGCTCAAGTACTGTTTCTAGCTCTGGGTTCAGTTGTTCCCTGGTTCTAAATGTCACTACAGAGCCTGTGTATCTCTTGTATGCCACTGTGACAGCAGACAGGACAGAGAAAGAGGGGAAAGTAGTATTTTAAAGTACAGGACAAGAATGGGCCAGGCACAGTGGTTCATGCCTGTAATCCCAGCACTTTGGGAGGCCAAGGAAGGTGGATTGCTTGAGCCCAGGAGTTAAAGACCAGCTTGGGCAACATGTCAAAACCTCTTCCTACTAAAAATACAAAAAGTCAGTCAGGTGTGGTGGTGTGTGCCAGTAGTCCCAGGTACTTCAGAGGCTGAGGTGGGAGGATCACCTGAGCCTGGGGAAGTTGAGGCCGCAATGAGCCATGTTTGCACCACTGCACTCTAGCCAGGGCAATAAAGTGAGACCTCTGTCTCAAAATAAATAAATAAATAAAAATAAAGAACAAGAATGAAAGAAAAGAAAATTAACAAAGATACTCATTTGATGATGTGGTAAAATATGCTAATAATGGTTACCTTAGTTGACACTAATTCCTCTCCTTCCTTCTTTTCTCTTTATATATATGTGTATATTATATGTATGTGTGTGTGTATATGTATGTATGCATATGAGATGTATCATACACACACACACACACACACACACACACACACACACACAGACAGACAGACAGACAGAGCTGTTTCTTGGTATCCATGGGGAATTGGTTCCAGGACCTCTCTTGGATACCAAAATGTGTGGATTCTCAAGTCCTTGATATAAAATAGTGTATTTGCATATAACCTATTCATATCTTCCGTATACTTTAAATCGTCTGTTGTTTACTTAGTGCAATGTAAAGTCTGCATAATTAACTTTTATATTGTATTGTTTAGGAAATAATGACAAGGTCTGTGTACATGTTTAGTGCAGATGGAATTTTTTTTGTATTTCAATTTGTAGTTAGTTGAATCCAGTGATGTGAAACCTACAGATATGGAGGGACAACTGTACATTGCTTGTTATAATGTACATTGATATTTATATTCTTCAGCTGATTTCTCAATTAATTGATTTATTTTCAGACTTTTTGTATTCTAATAAATTAGCTTAAAGCTATAAGTATTTCTTTGGGCCCGGCATGGTTGCTCATGCCTGTAATCCCAGCACTTTGGGAGGCTGAAGCAGGAGGATCACTTGAACCCAGGAATTTGAGATCAGCCTGAGCACCATAAGGAGACCCTATCTTTACAGAAAATAAAAAATACAACAGTTAGCCCAGTGTGGTAGTGTGTGCTGTGGTTCCAGCTACTGGGGAGGCACAGGTGAGAGAATCACATGAGCCCGGGAGTTCTAGGCTGCAGTGAGCCATGATCATACCACTGCACTCTAGCCTGGGCAACGGAGAAGACCCTGTCTCAAAAAAAAAAAAGGTCCTTTCAGGTTTGGCTGTGTTCTATAGTTTTTAATATGCAGTCTTTTTTCATTAGGCTTTTCTAAATTATCTGTGGCCCCAATATTTATTTTTCTTTTACCCAAGTACTATTTAAAATAGAAGTTTTAAAATTTTCTAGTGAATAGCTATTGTTGTGTCACAGGATGATGGGAGGACTCAGCCCTTTTTGATGATTTTTAGTTTTTTTGCATCAGATAACTGCCTTGATAGTTTTTTCTTTGTGCTTAAATCCATGGTCAAGTTTTTTATGCTTTGATGTTCTGCATTGTGTGGTCTCTCTTGTTTTAAAATGTTGCTTACATGGTGCATGCTTTCTAATCATGGTCACATGGGTCTATGTATTTCTGTTTTATCATGTTTGTTAATTGCATTGTTAAATCGTTTAATACTGTTATTATTTTCTTTTTTTCTGTTTGAGTAGTTGGATCTGGAAAGAAATTTATTCAGTTTTCTCATTATGACTTTCAGTTTATTTTTCTTTATGTTCATACCAACTTTTGCTTAACATCTTCCGTTAATTCTTCAGAGGTTGGGCATGGTGGTTTGTGCCTGTAGTCCCAACTACTCAGGAGGAGGAGGTAGGACGATCTCTCGAGCCCAGGAGGTTGAGGCTGCAGTGAGCCATGATTGTGCCACTGCACTCCAGCTTGGGTGACAGAGTGTGACTCTGTCTCAGAAAAAATATATATATAGAGAGAGTAAATTTTATGTGCTTGTACATTGCTCTCATATTTGTCTATAGGCTTATCTGCCTACAGAATTTTAAATTCAAAATTTTCTTTTATAATGACCAAACTGATTTTATTATCTTCTGTCACTCCATATTGCAGGTGAGAATTCAATGTCATCCCAACTTTTTTCCTTGGAAAGGATTTTTTCTAATTGTATGGAAGTATTAAGAACTTTTTAAATAGATGAAATTTGAAAATTTCTGTGAGCTCTAACACTTACCATAGAATTCCTCCAAATAAGTTTTGCATTCGAAAAGTATATACAGTACTTTGTGTAGGGAAAGTTGCGTACTGATGGTAGAATCAACTTCTTTGAAGCAAATGACTGGGGTAACTTTTCCTTCTTAAAATTACTTGGTCATTATTTTTCTTGACTCAGTCTTTCCAACTACCTTAGTTGCTTTGTTGAGTTTTATTTTGCTTGTTGTTGTTTTTAGGTTCCTTCTAAGAAAAGTAAATTTTTTAGTGGGGGATGACAGAGGGAGTTTTCGCTTTCAGAGATGTAGGCTGGATTGCTCAGTTCTTCAAGTGCGCCAGTTCTCATCTGCTCCTGCACTGTTAGGACCTGCTGGTACTAGCCTTCCAGGCATTCGAGCACTATTATGGATTTATTATGTTTCTTCTTTTGTTTCATTGGCATCCACACAAACATGTATTGAGTTAGTCATTTGAACTGGAATTCAGAGGTTTTTTTTTTTTTTTTTTGAAACAAAATCTCACTCTGTCACCAGGCTAAAATGCATGATCTTGGCTCACTACAACGTCCACCTCCTGGGTTCAAGTGATTTTCCTGCCTCAGCCTCCTGAGTAGCTGGGACTACAGGTGCGTGCCACCATGCCCAGCTAATTTTGTATTTGTAGTAGAGATGGGGTTTCACCATGTTGGCCAGGATGGTCTTGATCTCCTGACCTCGTGATCTGCCCGCCTCGGCCTCCTGAAGTGCTGGGTTACAGGCATGAGCCACCGCACCCGGCCCAGAGTTTTTAATGGAATCACCAGTAACATTCTACAGTATTTTCCAGAAGCAATACAAAGACGATAACTTTGAAATCTTCAAAAGATAAATTTATATTGGTTCTTTTAAAACAATGTACATTTTAAAAAGACATTTACGAAATACAGAAGAAATAAATTTTTTTATATTTATTTGCTAATGCCAAAATTACAATCAAATTCTGAAAAACTAATGTTGAAACTTTGAAAAAAGTCCTTTAATGAACTGAGTATTACAAATTAAGGAGTGGTGGATTTCAGGCCTGTGTGTGTGATATGATGTATCTCATATATATTTTAAAACTTTTCAAGTGTTAATAAATCATCTAAGAATGCATGAATGTTTTTTGCCAAGAATGCATTCTTTTTCTTTTTTTTAAATTGCATTTTAGATTTTGGGGTACATGTGAAGAACATGCAAGATTGTTGCATAGGTACACACATGGCAGTGTGATTTGCTGCCTTCCTCCTCATCACCTATATCTGGCATTTCTCCTCATGCTATCTCTCTCCCCAACTCCCCACCCCCCGCTGTTTCTCCCATATTTCCCCCTGACAAATCCCAAGGAATAAATTCTTAAAGGAAAATACACAAGCTCTACATTTTAAAGATTGATTTTTGGAATGGTTCTTTAGATTTAGGCTGTTAAGTTTTGATTGGAATTCAGTTTTTATGAATCAGTAAATTTATTATAAAATGTTACTACCTTGCATGATAAAACTTTAGAGATTCTAAGTAAAATTCATAATTAATGTGGAAGAGGAAGAGATTTGTAGCAATCACAATACCAGTATCAGTAGCAATTTCAGTGACAATTGAACAAAAATATTTTATAATTATTTTATTTACTATACACTATTTTTTTAATTCTTCATATGTGCCAAGAGGATTATGCACACGATATCACTGTAGACATCCTTTTTCTTTTTCTTTTTTTTTTTTAATTTATTTTACTTAAGGTGCATACTATACCTGGCATTTCTCCCCGTGTTATCCCTCCCCACCCTCCCCTGCCTCTCCACCCCTCGCTGTCTCCCCCCTACCCCCGCCTACTTTCCCCAGTGTGTGATGCTCCTCTCCCTGAGTCCATGTGTTCTCGTTGTTCAACACCACCTATGAGTGAGAACATAACAGTGTTTGGCATCCTTATACCTGTGTCTGGACAACTTTTGCAATAATAACTGTAGGATAAATTCTTAGTACTGGAGTTGTATAGTAGGTAGAACTGGATTTAGGGGATTACGTTTTGATAGCTGGAGTTAAATTACTCCATATCCCAACAGTGGTGTATAAGAATATCTGTTTCCACCTTTTCATTTGCACTAGGTATTAGCAAACATAAATTTGTGACTTCCTGAGAGGTTTAAATTTTTATCTTGCTTTGATTTACATTTCTTTAATTGTGGGTGTAGCTGTAGCTATTCAGATGCTTAAAAGCTATTTTTAAATCTAATTCTTGTTTTTAATCATGGTCCTTGATTAATAGTCCTTAACGATATATCCTGGAATTTAATTTTTTGTTCATTATATGTTTTGAAAATATTTCTTCCTCACATAGAGTCAGCTTTGAATTAAGTATTGATTTTTAAATTTTTTAGGTAGTTACACGTATTGGTTTTTATAGTTTCTGGGTTTTATGTTTGCCTAGAAAAGCCTTTTGTACTCTAAAATTATAAATAAATTCACTCATGATTCTTTTATAATATGTGTGATTTTATTTTAAACCTTTGTATCTTTGTTTCAGCTAGAATTTGTTGTAGGTGTCTAGTAATCCAATTTTATTTTTCTCAAATGGTTAGCCAGTTATCTTAATGTCATTTATCGAGTAAGCCCGCTTTTCCACAGTAATTTGAAAGACGTAAAATTAAAGTCTATTTCTAGACATATTATTCTGTCCTAATTATTTATTTTTTCCTTTCTCTTCCAGTGCTAAACAGTTTTAGTTATATTAGCTTTATAATTTATTATTACATAGTTTCTCCTCAAGTTTTCTCAACTTAGGAAAAATTCATTTTCTCAAATTTCTCCTAAACACTTACTGAATTATTAGTTAATATTGTGTTGAATTTGTAGTTAACTTTGCTTGTCATTTCCATTCTTAATAGTTCTTGTTTACTTCTCTTTTTTAATTGTAAGATTTGATATTTATTGATATGGTTTATAACTTTCTGTTTTGATAGAATATCAAGTTTTGGTATTATTATGTCGTTTTTGTAAAAAGCATTTGGAAGGGCTCCTGACTACACTGCATTCTAAACTGAAATTTCTGTATATTAAATAATCACAGCATACCAAAGAGAGTTAAGAGTGCAGAGATAAATACAAAAATTTTTTATTTTAGAACTTTGAGTTTTCTAGCAGATTCCAATTTTACGTTCTGTGATTTTTCTGTAAAGGCACAGTTTATTTTTCATTTTGATATCAGACTTCTTCTCATGTGGAACCTTTGTTTCGCCTCTACTGATCTGTCACTGTTCTCTGAACATACATTATTATTCCTAACTTAGCATTGACATGAATGGTTTTATTTATTCATTTACCTATTGAACACCTTCTGTTTTCCAAGTACTCTATGAAGTTCTGAAGTTACAGTGGTAAATAAGAAAGTTATACATCCAGGGACATAGACTTTTGATTGAAGGTGCTAACATGATGTGTTATGATAGTTAAGAGTTTTAGAATTAGACCTGGGTTCAAATACTTAACTTTGCCACTTAATAGCAGTATGACCTTGAGTGTATTGTTTAATATCTCTGTACCTCAGTTTTCCTCATCTGTGTTTCTGTGTAAAGTCCCTGAGTTGATTTCTGTAAACTACTTCTAAAGCCCTTGGCACATGGTAAGTGCTCAATAATTGTTATGTTGTTATTAATACTATTACTACTTCTCCCACAAAAATTATCACACATTAATCTTTGAGTATCTCATCGCAGTCCACACCACATCATTTTTCTATGCCATAGTGCATGAGGAATCAAATTTGATAGAATACCCCTTAATCATTGAGCTAGATTTATTGAAAAATACACATAATTCAATATTCTCTAGTTGTACTATTGAACCTAGCTTCTGTTAGTTTTAATAATATTTAAGCAAGTGAATTTTAATTTTATTTGTGTTAATTTTAGATCCAGTTATAAAATTGTATTTTAGCTTCAGAATAAGAATGATCACCCTCCGCCCATGTCTACAGCAATAACACCCTGAACACAACACATCTCGTCTGATCTTGGAAGATAGACAGGGTCGGACCTGGTTAGTACCTGGATTAGAGATGTAGCTCCCAGAGTTGCTTTGTGTGTCGTGACTTAGCAGTTGGACACTGCTTTCCATTTTATTGTTTTGGCATCATTTGCTGAAAAAAAGACTTATTAAATGCAGTGTTATTTATTAGATGGTAGGAAATGCTAAGTTCTTACGTACTTCCCCTGGACTCTACATAATAACATAACCCAGTTCTCTGACATCTTTCACTACTAAAATGAATTTTTGAACCATTATTTCAGCTTTCATAATTTTTAAGACTAATAATGTTTGTAGAAATATCAAAAATTATGTTGCCACCTTAATTTTTAAACATCTTCTGGAATCGTAGGGCAGATGTCGGGACTCTTTGGATTCATTGGCACCATTGATGAATGGTCTCTCAAGTGAAAAAGTACTAGGAGTGCTCAGATGGAATTGCACCTAGCATTTTCGTCTTGTAGTAACAAACAACTCAAAGGGAGACACTGTAAGGACTTAGTATTTGGAGGCCTAATTTTATATTTGAAAGTTGAAGAAAAATGGAAATTATAGGATAAACTTTTGCCCGAAGGACAGAAATACTTGAGATGAGTCATGTATGATAAGGAAGTACTTACATATGCTTGTTGATGGGTTGTAAAAAAGGAACTCTCACATTCTGCTTGTTGATCTTCTTTCTCTTTCCAAAATGCCGTCACAAATTTCACTTTTTAGAGCTGACAAATGGCCTAGATGAAATATTTCACAGAAAACAGAGCAGAATTTAGAGCAGTATTGTATTATTTCTTTGTTAAATTGAATTTTTTCAGTATGTTTAATTGGTTCATCTCTAGCAAGTAGATCAAGTATAAAACTTTAGAAAAGAAACGTGCTGGTAACCCTATCAAACATAACAGGTTAGGAATAGTGGTAACAGGGAGAAATAAAAACGTTACAAAGTTAAAATGGTTGATGACAGCAGGATTCTGGGTTAGCACAGTAAAGGTACATGAATATGGGTAATAACCAGAGATACGTTGGTAATCCTCAGATGGACTGATTTCATAGGAGGCATTATTCGGGCACAAGTCCCATTTGCCTGAGTTCAAGAGAGAACAAACAGGAGAGTTAAGTGTTGATAACTCTTGAGGATCTTTGTTACAGGGAGAGTAATGAGGTAATAGCTAGAGAGAGATGTTGGGTTAAGGAGAAGAGGTTTTTTATTCTTTTTTTTTAATTTTTGTTTTTTGGATTTTTTTTTTTTAACCCTGGGAAATATTCTAACATCTTTGCCCATAGATGATGTGGTTCATTGAAATGGAAAAGTTAGTCAGGTAGGGAGATTGGGGGCAGTATCTGCAGCATTGACTTTAGGTTGGCAAGAAGGAAGGGGAGCCACCGTATAAATTCAGGGGTTGTCTTTGGAGAAGAACATGAACAGCCTACCCATGGTAACAGGTGGGAGGGCAAAATATATGGAAATGAATATAGTTAGGTTATTGATACAATACTGAGAGAAGTTCATCCAGTTTTCTTCTGATTGCTTCAGTTTTCCAGTGAATTTTCCAGTTCTTTAACTTAGATTATCTGAGAGAGGGGGAGAGGAAATGGACTAGGAAAATGCAAAAGGAAAGAGAGCTCCAGGAGACCATATATTTCCAGAAGAACACATGGCCTGCTTGTGTATGTACATTACCCACTTGGCCCCTGAATTTATTATTGGAATCCCTGTTTTATTCTTTTGTGTCTTTTGGAAAGTTACTTCTCCCTTATTTCTCAATGCCTTTTTAGTAGGGGGAAATTAAAAAATACCTGTTTCTTTGAGTAAGGGTAGTTGTCTATTTTGTCCTGATAAAAAGCTAATTAAACAGCAAAGTATTTTTTGAGAATTTCCTATGTCCATATATAGCTAGTCACTCTGTTGTGTTTACTGTTACTAATTAGAGTGTCAAAGAAGAGGACTACGGATACTGATATTCTGGATTTCACATTGGGATTCTTTTTCAGTTTTTAAAAAACATCAAACTTTTTTTATTCTTCTTTTAGATGTTCTTAATAGTTGCTCCTCTTTCTGTCCTCTACAACTGGAAGGATGAATTGGACACCTGGGGATATTTCAGAGTCGCTATTTTACATGGAAACAGAAAAGATAATGAACTAATTCGTGTAAAGCAGAGGAAATGTGAAATTGCTCTAACAACTTATGAAACATTGCGCTTATGCCTGGATGAACTTAACAGGTAATGAGGACAATGGGAATGATTGTATTAATTTTCTGCTTCCATCCCTTTATATTATTATTATTATTTATTGTTATTTTTTGAGACAGAGTCTTGCTCTCTCTAGGCTGGAGTGTAGTGGCGAGATCTTGGTTCACTGCAGCCTCCACCTCCCAGGTTCAGGCAATTCTCATGCCTCAGCCTCCCGAGTAGCTGGGACTACAGGCCCACGTCATGACGCCTGGCTGACTTTTTGAGTTTTTAGTAGAGATGGAGTTTCACCATGTTGCCCAGGCTGGTCTCAAACTCCTGAGCTTAGGCAGTCCGCCCACCTCAGCATCCCAAAATGCTAGGATTACAGGTGTGAGCCACCGTGCCCAGCCTATACTGTGATTTTTTAAAAAGCTCTCATTATTCCTTTGCTTGAGCTAATTTCCTTTTAGAATTATTGAAATATTTAGTTCATAATAACTTATTCTTTGAGAAGGAAAAACCTGCGTTAGGTTTTCTAGAATTTCTTACTCTGTTCCGTACACTGAATACAGGATACCTCTTCAAGCAATGATTGTTAAAGAATGATAAGACTTGTCCTAAGTCTCATGTACATCCTTTTATGCAGACAGTGCCTCTGAACTAGGTCAGTGATTTTCATGAGTTATTTTAATTATGAGAGCCTGTTGTGAATGTAGAGTGGCAAAAAATACACACACACATGCAGAGAACCACTGCAGCACAGAGTGTGAGAGAGAAGTGGCCAAGAGGCAACACCAGTAATATGGCAGGGAATAGATTATAGAGAGTATTGGAAGGTACTTTGAGGATTTTGATCTTTATCCTGAGAGCAACAGAGTGCCCCTTACATTGTTGTCACCAGATTACCGACAGGATAAAAATGATCAGATTTGTACTTTGTAAGTACCCTAGCTGCCATGTTTGCAGATAGAGGAGAGCCAAGCTGAATGGAGAAAAAGCAGTTAAGAGGCTTGTTATGTGCTGAATTGTGTCACTTCACCTCAATTCCCCTTCCACAATTTCTGTGTTTAGGTCTCAGCCCCAGTACTTCAGAACGTAACTGTGTTTAGAGACAGATCTCTTTGATTAAGTTTTAAAGAGGTGGTTGAAACCGAGGCTGATTGGGTGGGGCCTGGGTCCAGTATGACTGGTATCCTTACATGAAGAGAAAGAGACAGCAAGGACACACACACGTTACAAAGAAAAGGACTTGAGGACACAGCAAGAAGGCAGTCATCTTGCAAGCCAAGGGGAGAGGCCTCAGGAGAAACCAAATTTGCCGACACCTTGCTCTTGAAATTCTAGCTTCCAGGATTGTGAGGAAATAAAATTTGGTTGTTTTAAGCCATCGAGTCTGTGGTATTTTATTTTGGTTGCCCTAGGAAACCAATGCCAGGCTTTTATAGTAGTCTCCTCAAGGCACCATGGTAGTGAGGTCAGAACTCTTCATAGTTGTGCCAGCAGCAGGCTGGGCCTTGGTAAACTCATTAACTTCATCTGCTTGTAGCGTAATTTCTGTACAGGGATACAATTTATACCATTTAGATGAAGATTTAAGTGTGGCATTAGAAACGGTTATCTAATAAGTCTTTAAAATGTTTAAACGTTATAGTTATACTCTGTTTGAACTATTGCTAATGAAGGATTCATGATATTCCCCCAAAGTCAACCGAAGCTTAGAAAACCAGGTTATTTTTTAAGGCGATACTTTCACATCAGCATTAAAATGATTTGGCATAGGATAAAAATGAAGAACGACAGTTGATAGTTGTCTCAGATTTTATAAGCACAAAATAAAGAGTAAAAAAAGTTAGTAAGCACAAAACAAAGAGTAAAAAAAGTTACTCATTAGCTATGTGGCTTTGGGTAAATTGGCCCATCTGGAAAATGACAGAGGATAAATTAAATCTGTCTTTGTGAAAACTAGCTCCTCAAGCCCAGCTGGAGAGTTTTATTAAAATCACCTTTAGTGAGATTTAATTTGTATACAATAGTTATACCATTTCAAGTATACAGTTTGATGAATCTTGACCAGGGATTGGTGTACTTTTTCTGTAAAGGACCAGGCAGTGAATATCTTAGGCTTTTGGGCCACATACGGCCTTGGCTGCATATTCTTTTTTATGACACTTTAAAATGTAAAAACTACTCTTAGCTTGCTGACCATACAAAAATGGCCATGGGCTGGATTTGGCCACGAGCAGTAGTATACTTGACTCCTAGTTTTGACAGATGAGTGTAACCACTATCCCAAACAAGATAGAAGCATTTTATTACTTCTTTACAGTAGCCTTTCCCCAGCCTTGGGCAACTACTGATTTTGATTGCGGTCGCTATAGATGAGCTTAAGCTGTTATGGAGCATGTCAATGGTATTACACAGGAAGCATCCTTCTGTGTGTGGCATCTTTTGTTTAGCATGGTTTTTGAGATTCATTCACATTGTGGAGTATATCAGTGATTGTTCTTTCTTAATGTTGCATTGTATTCCATCTTGTCAGTATGCACATTTTGTTACCCATCCATCTGAGGATAGATTTTGGGGTTTTCCAGTTTTTGATTATTATAGATACAACTTCAAGGGATATTTGTGTGTAAGCCTCTTTTGGACGTATGTTTTCATTTCTCGTGGAGTAGAATTTCTGGATTGTATGGTTAACTGTAGGCTTAGCTTTAGAAGAAACTGCCAAACCATTTTCCACAGTGGTTTTACTCCAGTTAGCAATATGTGAGAGAGTTCAGTGCTTCATATTCTCAGCAATATTTGGTATCGTCAGTCTTTTTGTTTAGCTGTTTTAGTAGGTGTATAGTAGTATCTTGTAATTTACATTTTTCTGATCCATGTGCACTTGGAAAAATGTTTTTTCTGCAGTTATTGGGTGCAGTGTTCTATAAATATCAGTAAGACTAGATTGGTTAAAGTATTGTTTACATGTTTTCTATCTTTGTTGATTTCCTTTTAGGTTGACTTATAGTATCTGAGAGAGGAGAGTTGAAATTTTCAGTTATAATTGTAGATATATTTATTTCTCCTTTCACTTCTGTCAGCATTTAATTTAGTATTTTGAAGTTCTTTTATGAGGTGTACATGCATTTATGGTTGTTATTTTTCCTGATGAATTGATCCTTGTATCTTTTTTAAAAAGTAACTATTTATTTCTAATAATATCTCTTATCTTGATCTTTTATCTGATATTAGCATAGCCATATTTTGGTACATTTCAGTAGTTTGCTCCTTTTTATTGCTGAATGGTATTGTTATATGGCTATCCCATATTTTATCTATTCGCCAGTTGATGGATATTTAAATTGTTTCCAGTTTTTGCCTATATGAATAATAACTGCTGTCTTATGCTGAGTCTTATGCTTACTGCATGTGAATAGCTTGTCGTGTTTTTATTTCAGCACATTTGTTCTTAATATTTGGAGTGAGTCTCTTATAGTGCAGTCTTGCCTGTTCATCCATTCAGATAATCTTCGCCCTTTATTTGGGATATGTAGACCGTTCACTTTGAGTACAGTTATTGGTAAAGTTGGATTTAGAGCTACCATTTTTGTAAGGTCTGGGATTTAATTTTATAAAGCAAACTTATAAGCTAATAAATTAGCCTGTTACTATTTCATGGATCCTGAGAGAAGACAGACTAATCTGAGGCATGGAGAGGTTAACATAATTTTCCTAGGCCTCCACAACTAAGAGGATGTGAGGTTTGAACACTGATCATCTACTGCCAGACCTCAGATTTTGTTTTGTTTTTGAGATAGGGTCTTGCTCTGTTGCCTAGGCTGGAGTGCAGTGGTGCTGTCACCGCTCAGTGCAGCCTCAGTTTCCCACCTCGGTCTTCCAGGCAGTGGGACTACAGGAATGCACCACCATGCCTGGAAAATGTTTTTTTCTTGTTTTTTTTTTGTTTTTTTTTTTTGTAGAGACAGAGTCTCCCTCTGTTGCCCAGGTTGATCCCAAACTTCTGGACTCAAGTGATCTTCCAATCTTGGCCTCCCAAAGCGCTGGGATTACAGGTGGGAGCCACCATGCCTGGCCAGACCTTAGGTTTTTAACCAATATACTATACCACCCCGAAAGATGTTTTGCTGTTAAATAAATGTAATAAATTCATGTATCATAGCATCAGGCATATTTTAATTATTTCTTACCTGTCTCCTTAGGCTCTTTGATGAGGAGATTTGTATTTTTAATTTCTGTATCTCAGTGCTTATTACACTTATAGCATATAAGAGTTGCCAAATAAATGTTTGTTAGGTTGCCGTTTTTTCTGTGATTCTTATAAATATTAAACAAGAATTCTGAAGTAGAATTATATAACTATAAATCATATATTTATAAGATTAGAAGAATCAAAAGCTTACGATTTTTGTTATATTTAGTTGTATTTATTAGTTCAAATGCCTTTATTTTGTGTTTGGCAAATATTTAAAATAATTAATATTTTACCTGAGCAAATATTAAGTTGTTTTTGTGAGGCTGGTGCTCTGCACTTACCATGGATAGTCCACGGAGGGGATAAACATGCTATGTAACATAAGGAGCTATGGCTTTTTTCTCATTGCTGTTATGTTTTTTTCTTTATTTCAGTTTTTGTCAGAGTTATGTATGTATGTGATTTAAAGAGCTAAATATGATAAAAGGCTTTTAGTGAAAAACAGCAGTTCACTGCCCCCCAATTGCCTTTACCTCAATGCTTACTGATCTTTGTTTTCTTTACCTCCTTACTGCTATAGAACATGTTTATGCTGCAACTGTTAAGTTTTTCTTTAGTTTTCAGCATCATCTGTTGATTTCTTCTTAAGGAAAACGAGGATTTTGCTGTGTTTTGCCCTTCTCTGGCCTGCTGTCAGATGACCTGGCCCATCTACTTTGTGCAGTGGGAGGATTCTTAAACAGACTATTATTGAATGTTTACATGACTCCAATTTCCAGAGACATTGGGGGCCACCCATTCTTAGCTTTTCCGGAACTAAATAATATGAATTAGATTGCTTCTTGGCTTTTTTCACTCTTGACATAGGATACGGTAGTCTCTGCTTTTGTAAGTCATCTTGTCCGTGTTCTTTTCAGCTTCTAGAATTTTTGCTATTTCTTCCTCTCTTTGTTCTTGAGGCTTCTAGCTTTTTTCAGCCTTATATTAAGAAAATGATGAAACCTATAGAAAATTTAATGGTACATGAACAACCACCCATATTCTCACCATCTAGATTCAATAGGGGGGTGTGTGTGTGTGTGTGTGTGTGTGTGTGTGTGTGTGTGTATTTTTTTTAAATGTTGGCAGAATATAAGTTAATGTATGTAAACGTGTGTGTGTGTCTGTGTCTTTGTGTATAGGGGAGGTAATGAATCATTTCAGCAAGTTGCATAAAACACAACATCTTTAAGTTTTTTAGCGTGGATTTCCTAAAACTAGTGATATTTGTTGTCATACCACAATATCACTGTCACACATGAGAAAATTAATAACAATTAAAATTTCCTCAGTTATTTTCAAAACACCTTTAATATCTAATATGTATAAAGCAGGATTCAGTAAAGGTTCAGATGAAGAATTTGGCTAAGTCTGTTTATTTTCTTCCCGTATACATCATTTTTCCAACTTTTACTTTTTAATTATATGACTTTTTGAGGGGACCAGGCCAGTTAGATGTCTTTTAGGATATCTCATATATTAGATTCGTCTGATTACTTTCTCAAGATACATTCATCTGTCATTTGTATTTTAGTAAGGTAGTTTTGGCCCAAAGGCTTAAATAGATTCAGATTAAACATTTTTGGCAAGAATGCTTCATAAATGATGTTGTGGACTTCTTATTACATCACTTCAGGAAGTATCAATGTCAGGTTGTTCGACTGTCAGTGATGCCAAGTTTGTCCCACAGGTTAAGGAGGTTACCATCATCAGATCTCTCCATTGTAAAGATATGTTTCTCCCTTTATAATGAGCAGATAATCTGTGGAGTGATACTTTGCCACTATTTAAATATTCTGATATCCCTCAATCCTTTTACTTAGTAGTGTTAGCATACACAAATTATTCTTGTCTGAATCAGTTACTTTACTAGGTTTGGCAAAATAATATTTTTCTAGTTTTATTATTTCTTTTCTATATGTTAATGCTATTCTCCTGTAAAGGAAAGCTTTCTCCATTAATTAGGAATTAACTACAATTTTGACTTTAAAAAAGCAAGGTGAATGCTTGATTCTTTTGCTTTAATGACCAATTTTTGGAGTAGGAAGTTAGCTTAATGGTCATCTACACTGGTGGCAAAATTTCTTACCCTCTCCTCCTTTCTTTCTTCCCCCCCCCCCTTTTTTTTTGTGAATATCACTATGGATTCGGGCATTATTTAAGTATAGTTGACATAAAATGTACTCTTGTAACTTAGAATAATTTTTGGTAAATTCTAAAAGTTGTGCAAGTATTACCACAATCTAGGTGTAGAACATTTCCATCACCTCAGAAAGTTATTTGTCTGTAGTCAGTCCCTGCTCCCATCTCCAGCCCCTAGCAACCACTGATGTGCTTTCTCCCTCTATAGATTTGCCTTCACTGGACATTTCATATAAATGGAGCCATTCAATATAAAGCCTTTGGTGTTTGGCTTCTTTCACTTAACATGATATTTTTGAAGTTCATTTATATTGTGGTACCTTTCAGTAGTTTGTTCCTTTTTATTGCCGCATGGTACTGTTATATGGCTGTTCTGTATTTTGCCCTTTCACCAGTTGAGGAACATTTGAATTGTTTCCAGTTTATGGCTATACAACTATGCTGCTGTGAACATTCACATACAAGTCTTTGCACCTAAGTTTTCTTTTTTCTTGGATAGATACATAGGAATGGAATTGTGAGGTCTTACACTCAGTTAAACATAAACTTTTTAAGAAACTGCCAACTATTTTAGAATAGTTGCTGTGCTTTCCCAAAAGCAGTGTATAAGGATTCTGGTTTCTCCACATCCTTCTTAACACTTGATATTTTTAATCATTTTTATCATAGCCATTCTAGTTTTAATTTGCAGTTCTCTAATAAGATGTTGAGAATATTTTCATGTACTTATTTGCCATCTGTATATCTTCAAGTAGACATTTCGTGAAATGTCTATTCGAATCTTTTGCTTATGTTTTAATTGAGTTTTTAAAATTTTGTTGACTTGTTGTAATTCTGTGTTGTCGTTTTTGTTTTGTTTTGTTTTTTGAACGGAGTCTGTCTCTGTCACCAGCCTGGAGTGCAGTGGTGTGACCTTGGTTCACTGCAACCTCTGACTCCCTGGTTCAGGTGATTCACCTGCCTCAGCCTGTCGAGTAGCTGGGATTACAGGCAGGTGCCACCACGCCCAGCTAATTTTGTATTTTTAGTAGAGACAGTGTTTCACCATGTTGGCCAGGGTGGTCTTGATCTCCTGACCTCATGATCTGCCCGCCTTGGCGTCCCAAAGTTCTGGATTACAGGTGTGAGCCACTGTGCCCAGCCCAGTTGTAATAATTCGTTATATATTCTGTATATAAGTTCTTTATCAGATTATGATTTGCAAATATTTCTGCCCCGTCTGTAGCATGTCTTTTTATTTTTTTAATGGTGTCATTGGAAGAGCAAAAGTTTTTAACTTTGATGAAGTCCAACTTACCACATTATTTTTAATTGACTACAAATTTTGTGTCATATCTAAGAAATATGTGCTTAATCCAGAGTCAACCATTGTTTTTTTCCTGTGTTTTAAAAGTTTTAGTTTATATTTAGGTCTATGATCTGTTTTTAGTTAATTTTCATGTGTGATGTGAAATAAGGGTCTAAATTCATTTTTCATAGAACTCCTGGATTTTTGTTTATTCAAAATTTTATATTCAATTGTAGTTAATATTCTTAATGATGCTCAAATATTCCGATTAGGCTGGCGTCTCTGTTCTTTGGATATATTTGCATTTGTATTTGGATACATCTGTGCCTTCCCGCAGTTCAGTGTTTGCCCCACACATGCCTGAAATCAACTGTTTCTCCATTTTTCCATGAGGCTGTAGTTAGTTACTTTTGGTGAAGAGACCACTATGGGTGCTCATTGCTGCTGGGGTAACAGTTCTAAAGTGTCTTAGTGGACAGGGCTGTGTAATACAGCTTTTAAAAATCATGAGTTTATATTGATATTTTTCATTCGGATTTAATGTTGCAAGTTTTATTTCTTTTATATTTGTTTTTCTGGTTTAATTCAAATAAGGTAATTTAAAAAAATCCTTTATTGTCATTTCAGTGATGTTTAAATGAAATTTTTCTTTTTACCATCTTTAAAGAATGTCTATATCCTTTTATCTTCTCTATGCATTTTATTTTTGTGGACTGTCCAAGACTGTGACCATTTAACTGACTAGGCAAGAATCCAATGGAATCATCAAAGAGGAAAAAGGAAAAAAACTTTGATGGAGAAAGCTACTCTCTAAAAATTCTATGGACTGAGAGGGGAAGTTTTCTCAACCATAACCTTCTTTTTTCTTACTTTATAGTTTGGAATGGTCAGCTGTCATTGTGGATGAAGCTCATAGAATCAAGAATCCAAAAGCCAGAGTAACAGAAGTTATGAAAGCTTTGAAATGTAATGTCCGCATTGGCCTCACTGGAACCATTCTTCAAAACAACATGAAGGAGCTGTGGTGTGTTATGGACTGGTGAGGGAAAACACTTTAAAAAAAATTATTTGATAGTACTTCAGCTGAATACTGTCTTGTTTGCTAAATATTAGTGTCCAAACAAACAAAACAGTCGTTTGTCTATTTTTAGATGTGTTGGACCCTCAATGTATATAGAGTAGAGAGGCCTATGAAAACCTATCTTTTTATTTATTACTCTTGGTCACTGAAGTAAATATGCGTGCTAAGTGCCAATCTCATCCTCATGTTATAGTCATAACCTGAAACTGTCATAAAGAAAGAACATTCTGTTTTCTTGGCTTTCGTTTTTGTTACCATTAGTAGTCAAGTAATGTAGTATATCTCTTAGAAGCAAGAAGTCAATGTTTTTCTTTTTAGGTAATAAAGCCCTCACATTTTTCTTATTGTCTTCATAAAGGGCTGTGCCAGGTCTTTTAGGGAGCAACTCCTACTTCAAGAAGCAGTTTTCTGACCCAGTAGAACATGGTCAGAGACACACAGCAACCAAGAGAGAACTAGCCACTGGCCGAAAGGCCATGCAAAGACTTGCCAAAAAGATGTCTGGTTGGTTTCTCAGGCGCACCAAGACTCTTATCAAGGATCAGCTGCCTAAGAAGGAAGACCGGGTAAGAACCGCATTTGTGTATATTATTAATTTCTGGTCATATTTTTATTTTATTTTATTTTTTTCTTTTTAAGAAAAAGCCTGTCTCCTGTGGTATTTTATGAATATAGTTTTTGCCTTTTACTCTGTATGGAAAAAAATTGTTACATGTAGAGTTTCAGAAACCATTGGTAGAGCTGAGTCGTTTTCCTTACTGACTTTACTAACCTGCTAACAGGTTTATTATTAATATACATTAAACTCATTTCCTAACAAAAAATTGTTTTTTTTTTTTTTTTGAGGCAGAATCTGGCTCTGTTGCCCAGGCTGGAGTGCAGTGGTGTGATCTCAGCTCACTGCAATTTCCACCTCCCGAGTTCAAGTGATTCTCCTGCTTCAACCTCTCAAGTAGCTGGGATTACAGACGGGAGCCACCACAATGCCTGGCTAATTTTTTTTTGTATTTTTAGTAGAGACAGGGTTTCACTATGTTGTCCAGGCTGGTCTTGAACTCCTGACCTCAGGTGATCCACCTACCTCACCCTCCCAAAGTAGTGGTATTACAGGCATGAGCCACCACGCCTGCCCTCATCAAAACTTTTGATAGAATTTTTCCCAATAAAGAAGGAAGAGCTTTTCTCTGCAATGTGCTTTCTGTTCACACTTTGTCCTTTGCATACTGTCTATTGTCCACCACACAGGGTATTCTTTGGTACCTTAATTCTAGCTGTAGGACCAGTGTGATTAATAGCTTTTTAAAAAATAGATAGGTCTGTTTCTTGTAGAATGCTATTTGCAGTTAGACAACTAACCTAACTTTTAGAATTTGTAGGAAAACTGTGTTGTTAAATTGTTTAAGAAAATATGAGGAGTGGACTTTAAGAATATATGTTTTTTAAATATAGTGGTCTTCTTTTATAGTTTTTAATCTTGTGTTTCTTCTAGCTTGGGCAATGGAATAAAGGTTCTACAAATTACTATGGAACTAACCTAATTAACATCCCAAATAAGGGCAGTCCTATGAAATGCCCTCTAATTTTAGTATATCCTCTTGATTGTTACTTTAAAAAGATAGATTTGAAAGGAAAATATATGATTAAATTGAGATACTTCATGGACTCTTATGTATGTAATTTAGCTACGTATCTAGTAGGAACAACACAAAAATATAAGGAGAGAATTGTGCGTTGAGATTTAGAACTTGGGCTCTGAAATCAAGTACTATGAGTGTAAATCCTAGCTCCTCTGCGTAGAGTTTTGTGACTTGGAGCAATTTGTGAGGCTCTCAAACCCGGGTTTCTTCTCTGTTAAATGGGAGTGGTGTTAGTAGCGCCTGCCTCACTTGGTTGCTCTGAAATGCATGGCATGTAAGAAATCTTGAGTAATTGATACTATGTTTAACAATAATAAATAATTCAAGATACCTTCGTCCTTCATTGACGACCATGTTCTATACTCTCTTTTTTTCTTATATGTACTTTTATGGTTCAGTCAAGCTGCACTAAATATTTTATAAATATTTTATAAAATATTTTATATTTTAAAAAACATTTAAAAAAATATTTTATAAAAACATTTTTAAACTAGTATTGGGAGGGGGCAGGCTGGATGTGTGCTGCCATGCATCCTTCTTCAGTCTGGTTTGGGTCTTCAAAAAATAAAAGATAAAAATACCTTCCAATAGAGCTCTGGTCATCCTGGCTAAAGGAGCAGAGGAAATGGAGATAGTCATCCCTGTAGATGTCATGAGACAAGCTGAGATTTAAGTCACCATTGCAGATCTGGCTGGAAAATACCCAGTGCGGTGTAGCCTTGATGTTGTTATTTGTCCTGATATTAGTCTTGAAGATGCAAAAAAGAGGTACCAAATGACAAGATGTTTGTAACAGGAGGTCATCCGGGTGCACAGATTTTATTTGAGTCTGTTGCCTTGGGAGAGATACTGAAGGAACAAGAAAATGAGAAGGGCCTCATAGCTACTATCTGTGCAGGTCCTGCTGGTCTGTTGGCTCCTGAAACAGGTTTTGGAAGTAAAGTTATAACATACCTACTTGCTAAAGACAAAATGAAGAATAGAAGTCATTACAGCTACTCCGAGAATCGTGTGGGAAAGGACAGCCTGATTTTTACAGATCAAGGGCCAGACTGGCTTCGCATTTGCTCTTGGGATTGTTGAGGCCTAAGAGGCAAGGAGGTGGTGGCTGAAGTGAAGGCTTCACTTGTTCTTGAAGACCAGAGCAAAAAAATGTGAAGATCGGTTAGAGAAATAGGCCATTTGGAATCCATTCTCACTGTGTTTGCTTTAAACAGAAAAATGGTAGGTTAGTTTTGCTGAAAAGCCATCACCATTCCTGCTTTTGTGAAGTACAGTTGTGAAGTAACAACCACACAGAGGTTTCTCAACGTACAAATTGTGTCTCTCGCCCAGTCTAGAGTGTTGTGTCATGATCTTGGCTCACTGCAACCTCTGCCCTCGCAGTTCAAGCTGTTCTGTCTCAGCCTCCTGAGTAGCTGGGACTACAGGCGCACGCCACCATGCCCAGCTAATTTTTGTATTTTTAGTAGAGGTGGGGTTTTACCATTATTGGCCAGGCCGGTCTCAAATTCCTGACCTCAGGTGATCCACCTGCCTCAGCCTCCCAAAGTGCTAGGTTTACAGGCATGAGCCATTGCGCCTGGCCTGTATCTACATTTCTGAGCCTTGTTTACAGAATAAACAGGACATTTAGGAAAAAAAAAAAAAAAGCATTGTTTTATCTAGACATTACTGTATTTGCTTGTATGCCCCTTTGCCTATTGACAATAATATTCTGTTGTGGTGATATAAGCATATAAATATTTACAAATATTCATATTTTACAAATATAAAAAATGTCAGTGCTTTGTCCCTGAAGTCAGGAAGTGCCTTGCCCAGTAAAGGACTACCTTTTAAAGTTCTTCTGATACTGGACAATCCCTGTGACCACCCAGAACCCTGTGAGTTCAACACCAAAGGTGTCAAAGTGGTCCACATGCCCCCAAACACAGCTTGTCTAATTCAGCTTTTAGATCAGAGGGTCTCAGGGACCTTTAAGGCTCATTGCACATGGTCCTCTATGGAAAGGATTGTAAGTGCTGTGGAGGAGAACCCTGCAAGAATACCATGAATGTCTGGAAGGATTAGACCATATGAAGATACCATCATCGTTCTAGAAAAAGCCATGAAAGCCATCAATCCTGGAATAGTAAAATCCTGCTGGAGAAGGCTATGTCCACATGTTGTGCATGACTTCAAAGGATTTACGACAGAGCCAGTGTGTGAAATCATGAGGGATTGTGGATATGGCAAAAAAGGTGAAGGGTGAAGCATTTCAAGATATGGATCTTGGAGAAATTCAAGAGCTAATTTAAAGAAATGCAGAACACCATACCAAAGGAATTAATTGAAGACGACTTGATGGAAATAAATGCTTTCAAAACAGTGCCAGACGACGAGGAACAAGACATAGAAAAAGCAGTAGAAGACAAATTGACATTAAATAATCTGGCAGAGGAGGTCTGATTATTTGATATTGCTCTTGACTTCTTTTATGACACAGACCCTTCTATGATACGGACACTGAAAGTAAAGCAACTGGTGGAAGAAAGACTGGCACCATATGGGAACATTTTTTAGAGAAATGAAAAGCAAAAAAGTCAGACAAATCACAACATGTTTCTGTAAAGTTACACCAAGTATGTCTGCTTCTCCTGCCTCCACTGACTTCCTTTCACTTCCTTTGCCTCTTCATTTCTGCTACTCATGAGACAAGAGCAACCTCTCCTTTTCCTTGTCCTCCTCAGCCTAGTCAATATGAAGCCCTTTGTGATGACCTACTTACACTTCATGAACAATAAAGATATTTTCGCTTTCTTAATGATTTTCTTAATAACATTTTATTTTTTCTAGTTTTATTATAAGAATATAGTATGTAATAGTTATACAAAATATGTGTTTATCAACTGTTTACACTGTTGTTAAGGCTTCTGGTCAACAGTAGGCTGTTAGTAGTTGTTTTTGGGGAATCAGAAGTTATACATGGACTTTTGTGGGGAGTTGGCACATTAGCGCCTTCCATGTTCAAGGGTCAGTTGTGTAAGGAAATCATCATTTGTTTGTTCATATTATGATTTCTTTTAATTAAAATTCTATGAGGTTTATTTGAAAATGAAATTATACTTTATATTACCTAGGGTGGGGTAGAGTAAAGAATGTAAGAGAATTGGGAGAAATCATCGTCATGTAAATAGAGAGAAAAATAGTTTATAGTAACTTTCACTATTATAATTATGAAATCAGATGTAGATTGTGATTTTTATTATTGCTATATACGAAATACTGATAACTACCTTGTATTTTATCTTGGCAGATGGTGTATTGTTCTTTGACAGATTTCCAGAAAACTGTCTATCAGACAGTGCTAGAAACGGAGGATGTGACTCTGATACTTCAATCTTCTGAGCCTTGTACCTGTGGCAGTGGCCGAAAAAGGAGAAATTGTTGTTATAAGGTAAGCGTGTCAGTATAGCTTTATAATCTTGCTTTTGATTACATAGTACTCTTTTCTAGTGTAAAAAAAAAAGTAGCTTTTCCTCAGACAGTTCTTTAAAGCTATGTCTTAAAAGAATGAATAGTTTTCAAAAATATTTTATAATATCAAATAGTAATTACATATAAAAATACATATTCAAATAGATTTTCAAAAAGTTAATTTTAGAAAGTAAGCTTAATTTTTATATCCTCCATTTTAGCTTTTTTTTTGGGAAGTAACCTTTCTTCTTCAAATTTCATTTCATTTTCAAGAAGTTTCTCATTTTCCGCTAATAGTAAACGAACATACTCTGGTATAGCAGGCTTAAAATACTATTCTGATGTTAGATACAGTATCGATGTAATAGAAACTGTGTATAAAAGAAAGTGGGTTTTTTTTAAGAATCAACATTTATTTGTACTTTTTTGACCTGTTCGTATTTACTGCTCATGTTTCACCTCTGTTTTATTAAATTACCTGTCACATGTCTGAGTACGTAGAAGAACCCTAAGTGAATATTTATCTAGATTGATATTTATTCCATCTCATTTATTTTGCTGTTTTTAACTACTTCCCTTTTTTTAGTAGCCCAGTCTCCTAGGAGCCTTGGAGCGTAAATGAGAAGAAGGGATCCACATTAGCAGTGTTACTGCCCTGTAGATTTCGTTACCAGGCACCTCCTAACAGCAGCGTTTCCATCACTGTGTGTCATGAGGATAAATACTTTCTGTAATGAGGATTTTCCCCTCTCTTTTATGAAAAATACCATGGTGTTATGATTTACCAAAAGGTGTGATTCCACATTAGTGATTTGTGGATATTTTATATAATAGTGGACTATCATTTTCCTGGAATTTATTGTGCCAGAGTTACCAGATAATAAATATTATTGTAAGTGATATATTTTATGATGTAAGCAGGTGCATAGCTGTGTTAGTCATTTTTATTTTTTATGTTTTTCTGGTTACAGACCAATTCTCATGGTGAAACAGTGAGAACCTTGTACCTCAGTTACCTTACAGTCCTTCAGAAGGTAGCTAACCACGTCGCACTACTGCAAGCTGCGAGCACCTCCAGACAGCAGGTTTGCTGGCATTTTACATTTCTTTGTGATGCTACTGGTGTCGACATTTTATAAAGTTTTAAAATAAAGTTATTAAACAAAGTATTTTTGGATGAAATTTAAGAGGAAACTGACTTGCTCATTTTTACTATGTAGATATCAAAGAGTATGTGCACTTAAGTTTTTAATCAAAGTGAACAAATTTAAGCTTAATTTAAAATAATTATTTTTTATGCCTTTAATAATGTTCACGTCTTAATTTTTCAAAACATTCTTTGGTATAATTACTAAATAACATATTTGATGAGTCACTTCTGTTGCTTTAATAATGTGTGTAATGGTATTTAATCTACTAGGTAAAATGAGCATTTATAATAACTTATATTAAGTATTGAGGCTGTTTACCAAACTGGCTAAAATCAGTAATTTCAAAGTTTAGGTTTAAATTCAATCATTTACTTTGGTTGTGTTCTTTTACTCTAGAGCACACATAAATGAAAAGGTGTTTTTGTAATGATTTTATATTTTCCTTCCATGTTATAGTTGATGCCATTTAAATGTAATTTTGAAATCGCATGAGAATTTGATATTGTTCTTTGATAGTACTCTTTACTCTTTTTGGGAGTATTTAGCACCTTCTTTTGGAACTCTTAAAAAATCTTTAAAAAGCAATGATCAAGTTCATATCCCACATCATTAAGAATTCATCAACGCCATATATGTTTAACATATTATTTTAAGAGTTTCTGAATTCTTAGTCTGACTTAGGGAAGCAGAAATCTTTAAAGTAATACATTCCTTCTAAAAATAATTTTTTTCATAGATTATTTCAACTTTTTCAGGGTTAAATGTGTTAAGTGAAAATATCTTTTCTTCTGTCTTTTCCCATCAAGGAAGCACTTATCAAAAGGATATGTGATCAGGTATTTTCCAGATTTCCAGATTTTGTGCAGAAAACCAAAGATGCAGCCTTTGAAACACTTTCTGACCCTAAGTACAGTGGAAAAATGAAGGTAAGTGCTTCTCTTTCAGGTTGCATACAAACAGACATGATATACAAAATATTTATTCAGTGGTATGACAGAAACACCAACTAGTCAGTACATGTGCTCAATCATTCAGACGAGATGGTGGCTATCAACAGTTGGTGCAGTTGTATCAGCATTTATTAGGTCACTATGAACCCTGAATACAGATGCGTGCTTTTGGTAGGTCCTCGGTAGTAGTTGCTTCAAATATACTTCAAATGTGTGCTGTTATCACATAGATAATAGCTCGTCTTCAAATGTTTAAGGAAATAACCTACCAGAAATATAAATGCTAATGCAAAGGGCGGGGGGAGGGAGGTGGGGGGGGGAGGTGGGGGGGGAGGTGGGGGGGGATGGGTAAAGGCATTATCTTGAAATTAGAGAAAGGAATTTCTTGAAGAGTTCAAGATAGGCAAGGTCTGTATGCCTAGAATTTTCTGCATGTTGTTTTTACCTGCAGACCTAGATTGTAAAGTTTCAAAGAGACATTTGTCATACACGGGAAAACTGACCTGTAGCTGCGTTGCTGTTGGTAACGTGTTACCACGGGAGGGGTGTGAAAAGTAAGGCTAAGTTCTCCAACCCTAACACAGGCCTTGGGCATTGCCTGTGGCAGCAACATAAAATGCTGACAGCTTCCTGCCTCCTTGCAACAGAGTTAGTTTGTTTAACCCCTTAATAACTATAAAGAATCTTTTATATGTGGATTCACAGATTTTTACAGAACAATTCTCAACTTCGTTATAATTTTTAAAAGGTAAATTATTTCTTTTGACAAAAGGAATTAAAAGGAAGTAATTCAAAGTAGTTTTTTTTTTTTTTTTTTGGGGTGGGGGTTTTTGTTTTTTTGAAGACAGAGTCTTACTCTGTCACCAGGCGGGAGTGCAGTAGCTTGATCTTGGCTCACTGCAACCTCCACCTCCAGTTCAAGTGATTCTTCTGTCTCAGCCTCCTGAGTAGCCAGGACTACAGGTGCACACCATCATGCCCAGCTAATTTTTGTGTTTTTAGTGGAGATGGGGTTTCACTATGTTGGTCAGAATGGTACTTGTAGCAATTAATCTAGATAAGCTCATCATGGTTTAGTTTACTTGGGACCTCTAAAATCAATGAAATAAAATAGAAGGTAGGAATATACATATAGTAAAGACTATTGCATTAAAAACTTACGTTTCTTTAAAATAGATGTTTATATTAATGAGGATATCATGTGATTTATTATCACAACAAATAATTCAAATTTAATGATATTTTCTAAGGTAGCAAATGTATTTTTGTCATCCATTTCATTGACTTTAATTATTTTTAAATTAAAATAATGCTTATTTTAATTTAAAAATAATTATCATCTAACCAAGGATAGAACTGAGCAGTTATTGTCTCACAGTTTAAGCCAATAGAATATTTCCAGGAATTATAGCCTCCTCTGAAAACTGCATTATCCATTGCTACTTATTTAAATTTTATTCCCTGTGACTCTTCACTAAGAAATTACCAGTGTGGAAATTAAAGTTTTATAAGTGCATTTTATATTTTTTATATTTTTATATTTTTTACATATTCATTAAAGATATAATTGTAAAATAGACTTTTAAAGTTAATCTTCCTAGGTTTAATAGTGTCTGATTAAGAGAATGATTGGATTTAATTTAATTTTAATGTTTAGAAGGGAAAAGGAAGCATAAATGGTTGCTGGAGGCTGAATAGTATCTTTACATGTGAATGACGCAGGTAATTTATTTGCTTCATGAGAGAACACCAACCACACAGAGTTGGCTAGTAATAATCTAGGGATGTGTTTTTAGACTATGTTAAATCATTTGATTAACAGCATCATCTGGTCATACATTGATTTGGTGATGCAGAATTTACAGGCTTATCATAGAATCATTGCCTGTGGGTTTAAGAACTCCGAGAATTGAGTTGCATGTATTTTTTGAATTCAGGTGATAAAAGATCTTTGTTTGGCTTGGCTTGTCATAGGTCAGCCTGCAGGTGCAAGGACTCTGTGAACAGAATGCCTGCTATAATCTTTATAGCCTCAGAGCTACACTCATGACCCCAGCTCTTTATCTTGAGTGTCAGGGTTGTGACCTCAACTGTCATTCAAGGGGATAGTCACAAGTTGCAGTCATTCACCTGATAAAAATCCTCACTTTTCTTTCTCTTGAGAAGTGCCGCAGAGCCACTTACTGTGGAGGGTGGGAAAAAAGACTAGGAGCAGCTTGGTGCTGCTGAAGTCACACAAGGGTCATATTCATCTTTCTAGGCCTGACTGACCAGTTGAGAACAGTTAAGATCCAAGATTCCTTGCCGTTAACCCCAAATATGTGATTCCTTTATAGATGGATTGTCTTGTTCTGTGGGGGACAACTGAGTGATAAAACATTGGATCTATATTGTTAAGACTCCAACTTATATTGATTGCATCGTCATTTTGGAAATTTCTGGGATCTTGATTTATAGTCATTTACTTAGCTAGTTTCTTTAAACTAGCCTAATTAAGACCCCAGTTTAAAAAATTTACTTTTGGGGCCGGGCACGGTGGCTCACACCTGTAATCCCAGCACTTTGGGAGGCCGAGGCGGGTGGATCATGAGGTCAAGAGATCGAGACCATCCTGGTCAACACGGTGAAACCCCGTCTCTACTAAAACTACAAAAAATTACCTGGGCATGGTGGCACGTGCCTGTAATCCCAGCTACTCAGGAGGCTGAGGCAGGAGAATTGCCTGAACCCAGGAGGCGGAGGTTGCGGTGAACCGAGATCGCGCCATTGCACTCCAGCCTGGGTAACAAGAGCGAAACTCAGTCTCAAAAAAAAAAAAAATTTACTTTTCCTCTGACTTGTTTTTGTTTTTACTGTAAAACATTTGAAAATACTTAAAATTGCAATAGTTATAATACTACCCCAAACAATAAGAATGGATGTCTATACAATATATCTTTGGTTTAAAAGGTTAATATCTTAAGAAGAATGAAAAACAAACCACAGACTGGGAGAAAATATTAGCAAAACAATAAAGGATTGGTTTACAAAATATGCAAAGAACTCTTAAAGCTTAACAATAGGAAAGCAAGCAATCAAATTTAAAAATGGGCAAAGGATCTGAACAGATACTTTCCCAAAGAAGATAATAGAGATGGCAAAGCATATGAAAAAATGTTTAACATTACATGTCATAAAAGAATTACAGATTAAAACAACAGTGAGATACCACTAGATACCTATTAAAATGGCCAAAATCCAGAACACTGACAAGCCTAAATGCTGGTGAGGATGTGGAATAATAAGAACGCCCATCTGCTGCTGATGGGAATGCAAAATGGTACAGTCACTTTGGAAGACAGTTTAGTGGTTTCTCACGAAGCTCTTAACTAAAAAATATTACCTTAAGTTCTTACCATACTATCCAGCAATTGTACTCCTTGATATTTACTCAAATGAGTTAAAATGAATTAAATTTTAATGAGTTTTAATGAGTTAGAAACTTAAATCCACACAAGAACCTCACATGAGTTTATTCATCATTGCCAAAGCTTAGAAGCAACTAAGATGCCCTTCAGTAGGTAAATGGGTAAACGAGCTGTGGTACAGCCATACTGTGGAGTGCTATTTAGCAGTAAAAAGAAATGAGCTATCAAACTACCAAAAGACATGGAAGAACCTTAAATGCATATTGCTGAGTGAAAGAAACCAGCCTGAAAAGGCTACATACTGTATAATTCCAACTATGTAATACTCTCAAAAGGCAAAACTATGGAGACAGTAAAAAGTTCAGTGGTTGCCGTGGGTTCTGGGGAAGGGAAGGATGAGTTGGTGAAGCACAGGGAATTTTTAGGGCAATGAAACGATCCTGTATTATACTGTAATGGTAAATATATGTCATTATATGTTTGTGAAAACCCGTAGAACTGTATAACTCAGTGAATAAACCCTAATGTAAATTGTGGACTTTAGCTAATAATAATGTATCACTATTCATTCATCAGTTGTTACAAATATACCACACCAATACTAATAATTAATACTCGATGTTATATTTTCTAATAATATTATTAATACAGATGTTAATAAGAGAAAGTGTGGGGGAGGTTGGAAATAGGGAAAGAGGAGTTTTCTGCATTTTCTACTCAGTTCTGTAAAACAGAAAAAAATAATGTCTATCAATTTAAAAAGTTAGTCTTATGTGAAATTCAAATTTATATACTTCATATAGAATCAGTTATTTAAAAATAAAGCTTTTACATGCAAATAAAACTTCATAGGTTCTTCAAATATTAAAGTAATGTTTACTTGATCTATAACATTTTTATTTACGATTTGATTGATTATCTGAGTAGAATTTTTTTTTAACTCCATAGTTTTTTTTGAGGGACTGGGGGTGGTAGGGGTCAAAGTTAGCCCAATAGCTTCTCTTGATCAACTGTTAAGTAAGTGTTCTATTAGGGTTTATTTTTTATTTTTTATTTAAAAGCTTAAGTATTTATCATTAAATACGTTGTTTTAGTGTTTGTTTCATTTTTCGGAAAGATTTTAAACTTTGTGTAGAAAGTATCTTTTTTCCCTGTGTGGATTGCTTTTCCAGTGTTCTGGAGCTGTCATTGCCAGATGTGGAAATAAAAATAACAGTGTGAATGTTATACCCAGGGCTTCGGCCTGTTTGCTTCCTCCCTAAAAGCACTGTGTGTGGGGGCAGATTACTGGCATTTTGAGGTCAAAATCAAATCTGGAAGTCGGAGCTTACTGTAAATAGAGAAACAAAGGGGAGAAAATGAGAAGAGGTGTATATCTGACTGATTATTCTAAGAAAATAAATATCAAGACTTTTAGAACCTATATGTAATTGAACACATTTCATTACATCCATCTAGGGACAATTTAAATACTTCCTAAAAGGAATGCTGCTCTATAATTTAGTTTCTTAACATATTGTAGGTATAAAGAAAGTGTATTTTGGAAATTAAATTAATCCATTTAAATGCATCCCATAATCGAAAATGTTTCCTTTTTATTAAAACCAGATGAGATGAAATAAAAGTCTTTGGGAACTTTACCTCCTTATTGACAATATGATGATGAATAACATTTGATGTAATAGCTAATACTTTATTTCTCTAACTTGGAAAAAATGAGAGGAATTAGAAAAGATGATTGAGGTTAATACTGTATGAAAATAATTTTAAAGAAATTCTCGAGTGATGTTTATATGTATAAAGTGTACTTATAGTTGGAACTGGTTCACTGATTTTCTGTGGTTCATTTTCAGGTCCTTCAGCAACTTTTAAATCATTGCAGGAAAAACAGAGATAAAGTTCTTCTCTTTTCTTTTTCCACCAAGGTGAGTTTCAGCTAAAGTATTTCCTTGATTGACCAGCACTAACTCTTGAGGCATAAAGAGTAAAGCATGTTCCTACATGACACCTTACAGCCACATTTTCTCTTATCTACATAGTAGGAAATAGTGAGGTAAGCAACTTAGTTTTTAAAAAGATGATAAAATTTCATTTGTTTTAGGATTACTGTCAGTTATCAAACTCAAAGATTTTTGTTTTCTGTTGATGTTTTTAATAATTACAATGTTCTTTAAGACATTTAAGATATTTTAGAACTTAGAAAATAGCACACATATATTTACATAAATGATTTGACCAGTAATACTGTTTTTTAGAAACAAAAAGATTGATTTTTGTAACAAGTTCTGATTGTTAAAGCCATAATGCTGCGGGATAACAGGAATAAAATATGTGGGTCAGAAGTGAGAAAAATATTTATTGCTCTTGGAATTATAAGAAAGAAATTATGAACCCCAATAATTAATACTTAGCAAGCCTCAACTTTGTAATGGTCTGAAACTAACGTAACCAAGATTCACGTTTGCCCGCTTCACACCTCCCCTCTAGTTGCTTGACGTGCTACAGCAGTACTGTATGGCATCTGGGCTGGATTTCCGGCGACTTGATGGAAGTACAAAATCAGAGGAAAGACTCAAGATTGTGAAAGAGTTCAACAGTACACAAGACGTTAACATTTGCCTTGTCTCTACAATGTAAGAAAAGTAAATTTAATAACTTCATTTTTATCTATTGTTTTTGAGATTTAGGGTAATTTTTAAAACTATTACTGGATTAATTTTTAATGGCTATGCTTATATTGTTTTGTTTTATTTGGCTTTAAGGAGAAGCAGCAAAAATTGGACTGAAATTTCAATATTTTAAATTTTAGCTAGGCTTTTCTCTCATTTCCTTTATCGTTACTGAATTCCCTTAGAAGTCTAGGTTTATAAAGGTAACAATAAAAAAAATGAATATTTCTTCCTACAAATTTTCTACAGTATATTTTGATCCATGTCTTCTGGTTGGAATAATCAGACTTCTTATTAATCGGATAACTGAGAATCACCATAGCAGCAGTTTTCCCACTGTGCCAGGGAGCCCTTGACAGCCTGCTGAGGATAGGGGGCCTCTACCTTGTCTCAGCTGGAGTAGCTCTGCAGTTAGAGATTTTATGAAAGATAAATTGGTTCTAACCCTTACGTACGAGTATCCCTATGAGACCTTTTAGAGAATATACACACTCCTGAAAAGATTTAAATCAATGTAAACCCCTAAGTAAGATTAATCCCATTTTAGGAAGATAGCTTTTGACACCCTGTGTAATAAGAATTTTATAGATTCATTCCCACTGTCTTTCAGAATTCCAAGGGACTTTAAAAATACGTAGATGCAAAATGCACAAAGTAAAAATTAAATCAGAATAGAAATTAACTTAAAATGAGGAATAAAGGCCGGGCATGGTGGCTCACACCTATAATCCCAGCACTTTGGGAGGCGGAGGCAGGCGGATCATGAGGTCAGGAAATCAAGACCATTTTGGCCAATATGGTAAAACCCCATCTCTACTAAAAACACAAAAATTAGCTGGGTGTGGTGGTTCGCGCCTGTAGTCCCAACTACTCAGGAGGCTGAGGCAGGAGAATCACTTAAACCCTAGAGGCAGAGGTTTCAGTGAGCCGGGATCATGCCACTGCAGTCCAGCCTGGCAACAGAGCGAGACTCCGTCTTAAAAAAAAAAGAGAGAGAGAAAAAGAGTAATAAAATATGTTTATGAATGAACTAACACTGTTGAGCACTTAAATTATTCTTGAATTCCTACCAGTAAGATAAATGGGGAAAAGTTTTGGATTCCCATTTTCCCATGAATGAATGCAAGAAGTAATTTTTCACATTAGTCCTTACGTACAGACCATTAAGTGACATAGAATACTGTGTTCAGTTAAATTTTGTAAAACACATTAGTATTCTAACTTTAAAATGGTTCCCAATGATAGATGCAGTAAACAGCGGTTGCAGTAATAGACTCTGCAATGGCAAGCAGTAGTCTACCACTTCTGTTCTGCTCATTTCCACTTCATTTGATGAGATCCTCCTTAAAACTCCTTGTTATCCCTTCACTTTTGTTTATCAGAAGTTGCTGTTTAACCCTGTCCATTGAATTTTTAATTTTAATCATACTTTTAAAAATGTTTTTTTCAGATGGCATTCTTGCTCTATTAACTCCTGTACTTCGGGGTGCTGATCCTTCGATTTGTTGTTTCCTCTGGCTCTTGCTTATCGATGATGGTTTCTTCATGTTTGGCCATTTTTCTCTTCTGAGCTTATCTTCAAGGGGATTTTTTCCTCCGGAAATCCTTTGGAGACCAATTGTAGGAGTTTTCCACTTGTCTGGCTTTGCTTTGGCTTCTGCTGGGCATCCTGACAAGACAAGGGAAAAAGTTTTAGATTCCTATTTTTCTGTGGCAATTTGAGTAATATATTGCATAAGTCATTACATAAGGAACCTTACGTAATATAATAAATACATTCTTCAGCTGTGCTTTACAAAAGACACATAAGTTCAGTTTTTATTTTGTTTCTATCGTTTTGCAAAGGTTTATTTTTATTTTTTATTTTTTTATTTTTGAGACAGAGTTTCACTCTTGTTGTCCAGGCTGGAGTACAATGGCGCGATCTCATCTCGCCGCAACCCCCGCCTCCCGGGTTCAAGTGATTCTCCTGCCTCCGCCTCCCGAGGAGCTGGGATTACAAGCATATGCCACCAAAGCTAGCTAATTTTTTGTATTTTTAGTAGAGATGGGGTTTCTCCACGTTGGTCAGGCTGGTCTCAATTTCCTGTTCTTGTGATCCACCCGCCTCAGCCTCCCAAAGTGCTGAGATCACAGGCATGAGCCACCGTGCCTGGCTTGCAAAAGTTTATATTTACTCTCTGTTGTAACAGAAGTGTTTTGACATTGGCTTAGCCATTATCTTGCCAGAATATGAACTCTTCATTATCTTTTAGTATATCAACTTTATGTGACTTGGAACTTCTGTAAAGAAGGAGGACTTAGGCTACTGTCACTACTCTCTCCCCTTTTTTCTTGCGATGTTTGCTCTTTTAAAATTATTGTCTATAAATTACTTTTGTAACTTTAAATCTTTGCACTTCTGCACTGGATCCATTGGATTTCTTCTTAGATCTTTTTCCTGGAATCCATGCCTTCTTTCTTGGTTTGCCCTCATGTTTTACCAGAAAATTGATTCAAATTTTGATGTTCTGTCCATTAACTTTCTACATGCCTTCTAAGTCTTTGTAATATGTGGTATTAGCATTACCCCACACACCCACCCTTTCTTCTACTTTTGTCACCTGTCCATATTATCTGTTAACTATTTAACTTTTACGTTGTCAAAGGTATTAATGTTTTCAATAAGTCCTGCACCAATAACCAGTTACTGTCCATAGGTTGGCTCTAAAATTTGGAGGCAAAAAACCAGATTTACTATGTTTTTATGAACTAAACATCTTTAATGCAGGGGCAAGTAGTGCTAATATAATTTCTCTGAATGTTCCCGACCTTTTGGTCAATACAAGATGAGTCTTAACATCAGCCTCATGTGACTTCTCTTTCCTAAGACTTCATTCATGTTTTATGTTTGCACTGTTCAGTTTACTTCAAATCTCAATCATGACCTTTTTGGTCTTTTCCCTCTCAGTCTGTTTTTGTCCTTTGTAATAATCCTCAGTGTTACCAATTGTCATTTGCAAGTTCTCTTCTGTTGAGTCCTCTGTATCTTGAACCTTACTCCTGAAACCTTTATTCCTTGGTTTCAGGCTGGCCTAGTTGTTTTCTAGGCCTGATAAAGAACTGTCATCTTAAAGTCTTCTTTCCACTGCTCTTCTGCATTGGATCTTTTTCCTGGGTTCCATGCTGTTTTTATTCTTGACTTGCCCCCTTCTTTTCCTGGGAAATATCCTCATGTAAATTTTTAAGCCAGCATATATGGGAAGTAACATTTCTGCATCTGTCATTATAGAAAGTGTCTTTTATTGCCCTCTCACTTAATTGATACTTTGTCCGACTGTACAATCTAAATTGAAAATTATTTCCCCTTATATCTTTGAAGGGCTTGCAGCATTGTTTTCTGATCGATAGTGTGGGTAAATAGATGTCTAGGGCCAACCTGATTTTCATTCCTTTTGGGAACTCGTAAGAGTTTTTCTTCATCTACAGTGTTCCAAAATTTGAGTCTTAGTGTGAATCTTTGTTCATTTTTTTTGTGCTGGGCACAGTAGGCTTGTATGCTGAAGGCTTATGTTCTTTTTCAACTCTGGAAATTGCTTTTTTATTATTTCTTTAACAATGGCATTTTTTCTTCCTGTTTCTCTGGTCCCTCCCTCTTGCGTGCCAGGTCATCAGACTTTCAAACGATACTGGTTCTTTAAATGTCTGAACTTTTCTGTCGTCTTTTACATGTTGTCTTTTTGCTCTATGTTCTGAAAAATGTCATGTTTTGATCTTATTTTGTTTGAAATAATCACTTTTTTTTTTTTTGAGATGGAGTGTGACTCTTGCCCAGGCTGTAGTGCAGTGACGTGATCTTGGCTCACTGCAACCTCCTGCCTCCTGGGTTCAAGTGATTCTCCTGCCTCAGCCTCCTGAGCAGCTGGGACTATAGGCACATACTACCATACCCAGCTAATTTTTGTATTTTTAGTAAAGACAAGGTTACACCATATTGGCCAGGCTGGTCTCTATTTCATGACCTCATGATCCGCCCTTCTAGACCTCCCAAAGTGCTGGGATTACAGGCGTGAGCCACCACACCCAGCCATGACCTTTTTAATTTAAATTTAGTTTTTCTTGCTTTCTGAGCTCTTTTGTTTTTGAAGTTACCTTTTGTTCTGGAAAATTAGTGTTTTAAACCTAGCTTTTTGTAGTCATTTTATTGTTTATTTAAAGAAGGATCATCTGGCATTTTTTCTGGGGTTTGTTTTTTGATTTTGGAGAATCAATGAATTTATTAATGAGTTTGAGGAAAATTGGAGATTTTAAGATATGAAGCCACCCTATCCATAAACATGGTGTCTCTCTATTTAGGTTTTCTTAGAAGCGTTGTTCAAATAAATACACTTACTTGATACAGGAAGAGAATGTGGCAGACCTAAGGAATAAACTGCCTATATCCTCATTAGGATCTCAAATACCAGTCCTCAGCTTGAAAAGAGCAATATTCAGTTTTTTTTCTTTTTCTTTTTCTTTTTTTTTTCTTAACAAGTACCCCTTTGCTGTTAGCCATGTAAGAACAGAGTGACAGGTTTTAAAGTTTAGGTTTCGGAGTTGTATTATCATCAAATGGAGAATCATCTCATCTGCAGAGAGAGAGTGTAGGGTTTCTTTCCTTCTTCTTTAAAGGGAGCTTTGCTTCTTCCACAAGGACTGAAGTTATAACTTCAGAATCTCTTCAACTGGTACAGATCTTATCTGTGGCTGATATATGGCACCTGAGATGGTATCATAAATGGGCCATGCCTGACTTTGCCATCAAGAAGCTAACTGGAATAGATAATTAGATTTATTCAACACATAAACCTTTAACTTCTTTTCTGCTTTTCTCGTGTCTAAATTGCACCCTATCCCCTAACTTACTCATTTTTTAAAATCCTTTCTAATACTTTCTCTCTATTCCACCTCATTGTTTTCTTTGAGTTCAAGTCTCTGTGACATTT